CCCCGCCACGCCCCCCCCCCCCCCCCCCCCCCCCCGCCCGTCTTTGCTATCCTCTGAAAACAGGCGAAAATTTTCATGTTCAACGTGTTCGAAAACTCGTCAGGATTGAAATCCAGTCATTAGGGAACTTTATTTTCCTGTTCGCCACCTCTAGAGAAATGTTATGTACTCTCAATACATATCTATGGATTAAGCATATTTTTTACGTATAAATTTCATAAAAAATATATATCTCTCTCATATACCTCTGATCTGTTACTGCATATCACATTTACATTGGAAATATGTTCTGGAAACCAATACTACAGACAACATCATACAAACAAAACAAACGTTACATCATTTAACATTATTCTCATTTCTTCGTAAGAATTATAAAAAAATTATATCTTTGCCGCCGTTACCTAAAACACAATTCGGATTATAAAAGTCATCCGGCTGTTTATCTATTCTCCTATCCCCAAATCACAGGCACCTCAACGCCACGCCACAAGATCCCAAGGGGCCTGTGTTCGACTGCTCAGACACATACGGCCAGTCTTATTTCCACTGAAGGTCTTCCCTGGGGCACAACTTCTCGTAGCCACCATCTTTGATTTGAAAGCTGTGGAAAACTCTAAGGAGGAGGCTGACGGGACGACGCAGTGATAGGAGGGTTGATAAAGATTGTCAATGCTTTAACAGAGAAGTGACTTGTATTGATCCATCCACGGAGCCAGTGAGACACGTGTAACAGCTCATTGAAGAGCTCCAGTCAACGCTCACCACAGGCGACTTGTGTTCTGCCGGCAAGGACAGCACTTGACACAGCCCCTGGCTCTTTTCCACCTGGAAGGAAGGAAAGACAATTATTATATGGCTGTGTATGCATGTATTGTTCAGGACGATAAGATATCAAAATCCACAAGTTTTGGGGGGTAGAAAACATTGATGGAGGCAAGGAAAGGAGGGAGGGAGGAAAGGGAGGAAGGATCGAAGGAGGGAGGAAGAAGAAGTAAGGAAGGAAGGAAGGGAACGAGGTGAGGAAAGGAGGGATCAAGTTAAGCAAGGCGGACGAGGCAGGGAAGTAAGGAAAGAGGGAGGGAAGACGGCCTTGAGGGGGAAGGAGGAAACTTCTGGACCCAGTTCATAGTTTCAACACAACTATTGGACCCTCCATTACACAACTATTGAACCCTCCATTGCACACTAAAATGTCTAATGAATATTTTTTAAAACTCACTTTATATACGACTCCACTTTCCGGCCCACAAGAAAGGAGATACTGTCCCTCAGCATCGAAAGCAAACATCCTGCCATAAGATGACGGCGACGACATGAACTTGGTTTTGCCGTGCGAGAGACCTGGTCCTTCTGTCTCACACCACACAGCTCCATCATGGATATCAAGGTCGGTCATCTTCTGACCCATGCGATGTACACTCCACTGAGAAAACTAAAAACAGCACGAGCAACAATAACAAATTGAAACTTCTTCTTTAATAAAGCATCAGTACAACTGTTAACCAGATAGACCACGAGAATACCTGAAGAAAATCGGTATAGTATGTCTTCGAGATGCTGCCTTGACTAACAAACCAACTTTCAAAACTCGTGCCTAGCTTGCAGTATGGATCAATGATATTTGAAGATTAAGATTGCGTGAAATGTTTAATACTCTGCAAGAAGTCTTTCTTGTTTGTCTCAGACTGAGATTTTTTTAGGGAGATTGGTTCCATACTCAAGGATCTCATGGATACGTAACGTAAAATCTCCCTCAGTAACGCGTTTTAAAAGTCCATCGAATAACTCGTGGTCGAGATAGAAAGCGTTTACTAGACGGACTCGCGCAGTTCACCAGTCAATTAGATTGAAAGGCCGCCCTGTGGTCCAACTGGATTCAGTTTTGGCACCCTTATTTGTTGCAAGGGATATTAAAATGCCGCCAGAAAATGGCAGCTGATAGATCGTTTTCCTTGTCTGGATTGCCATCTTCAGCGATGGCGACGGTTTCGACGATTACTTGCATGTGACGTTCCTTACCTTGCCATCTGTTCCCATACTGTAAGCTGTGGTCTCGTCCGCACTAAACTGTATCGAACACACCTCGCCTTCATGAGCTTGCCAACCAATTAAACAGTCAAATGACCTCATATCTGTCACAAAATGTTAAAAGTTTTGGAATCTCAGTTTTAGAGTCTCCTTTAAAGTTTAAAAGAATATCTGCAGAACAAAGTGTATATCAGATTCTGAAAATTATCAGCCAGCCAAGTAAATAGAATAGCCTGTTCCATATGGAAAACGATCTGAATAAAGAAACCGAAGCTCCAAACGTATTAAATGAATGGGAAAAAAACTGACATTACTGCTAAAAAACACCCTTTGATCACGTATTTTTGCCGATTCTTGTTAACAGTATCACCTAATCCTTTCTAAAACTTCCTTGCATTTCTAACGCATCGGTGTTTTGCAGGTGATTCAAAGCACTATAGTTCATATACCTTCGTTTGACAGAGTCAAAAAAAATTGCGGGACCCTCGCGTGACAAATTTTGCCAGAGGGCGTGACCCTAACGTGAAAGAATCACCTAAATCATCATGAGCCTCGTGAAATGGAACCTATGGTGTAACGGAATTGCCAAAATTGGCTGACTTAGAACTGCATTATCATATCCTGATATTGCACAACCCTAGCACGAGAGACTGGTCCAATAAACAACACCCTGATGTGACAGATTTGCCAAAAAGTGCGTGACATATGTCATGACATTCAATTTACCAAATAAGCGTATCATGCCGTCAGATCCTCCTGAGATACAAAGTGTTGCATTGTGATTAAACGCAGTGCAGTTTATACATGTGGGGACTGGATCCAATGGTAGTTGGCGCTGAGAAAGAAAAATGGAAAAGACGTGTTACCAAATGCGTGGCATGCCGGACTTAAACCCCCAACTTGTTCTGCCCTTCAACCAAGAAGAATTACTGACAAATTAGTGTAAAAGCTGCATAAAGCCTGCTCTCTTCTCTCCGTTTGAAGTACTTTATACCTCTCATTTGGGAATATCGTTACCAAAGACTCACATGCAAGGAGGTTACTCTCTGAAATAAAGACAGTTGTAACCCCGCACTAACGAACAAATGCCTCTGCTACAAATCCTTGGAATGGCAATGGTCCCCTAGCTCCTTTCAGGAACAAAATTAAGTGTAGAGTAAATAAATGCAAAATGTCAACCTCAATCAGGGCAATAATCGCGCCGTTTTGCAAATCCCTGTAAAACCCATGGAGAGTTTTTAGTGTCCAATAATAAAAGCGAACGCCTGCAAATCAAAAGTTGTGTACTCGCTAACAACTCCTGCAAGTCATACCTCAACTCTCATGGCCTTCATATCCCAGCACTGCAGAACACCTGAACTGCTACTTAAACTGTTTGACGTCAAAGTGGACATCTCGCTGTATTTTGAAAAGGACTGGGACAACCTTAATGATGACGTCACAGATTTCTTGTTTGCTGCCGCCGAACACACAAAGGCACCTCCGGTAGGACTGCATGACAGTGACACTATTCTGAAAAACACAACAAATTCTCCGAATCAATACACCTTAGCTAAGTGCTTTGGGGCAAAAAAAGATTCAAAGAATTCGAAAGAGCGCGCTATCTTTCACCTTTCACGCCATGGTAGTGATCTCAAAATTGCATTGAGAGCGTCCTCACTGCCGTTAGTTAGGCTTGTGCCTATGTCGCAGTGAAAACCAAGTTTTCTTTTCAGCTTTCTTTGATTCAAAGGTAATTTTAAGTATATGACAAAAAGATTGGATAAATCGTGACCTAAGCATATGAGCTGAGCATGACGACGATCTTACGCTCACCTGGGATACTGAGAATCGGTTGCAACATCGCATATTGGCTTTTTATTTTCCGTGTCGTAGAATTTAACTTTACCGTTTCCTGTGCCTAAAAGAAGCTAACAAGAAGACAAGGATATAAGCAAATGACAGAAAACAACAGCTTCAAACTGACTGAAAATGGGAAAGAACAGTACTATTGCTAACATTGAGAATAGCAATTTGACAATTTGAAAAATTCATTTTGAGCTCTTCTCAAAGTCTTATTAAAGCGAAGAATAAACAGCAACACAGCCACAGGATAGTGTTTTTACATGTACTTGAATATGCACACTACAGGCTTCGTTCACGGGTCTGGCTCTAAGAGAAACAGGGGTGGGGGGGGGACCAGTCAACATTCAACACAGTAAGACGACAGATGCTTGGCTTACCAGTCTGTCAGGTTTTGGAGCCCACTCCAGTGATAACAGTGGTGATTTAGACATTATAGTGCCACATGTCTGGATATCAGGATGGTGTGTCCAGACTCTAAAAACAGAGAGAAAGGGAACCGTTAAAGAGGAGTGTCAATGAAGTTGGAGCAAATTCCGGTGACTAATTTGTCACGCAACGATCGTCTACCCACCTCCACTTACTGCGGAGTTGTGTGACAACCCAAATAACAGATGTCGAGTAGAAGATCTTAGTAACTGAATCATACTTCTTCCTTTCTGTTCAAATACCGTAACATACAGTTACAAAGTTGTGCAAACCACTCATAAACACGGCCCAAAAGTACTGTGCTTTTGTTAGAAATCCACAATTCTAATGAGTGATTTTGAGTGAACTTTTAAGTTGAGTGAATCTGTGAAGCAGACGAGGTACTACACAACAGCTGTTGAGTTTGTAGAGGAATGTCTCTCGAGCTACAGTACAGTGTATGTAAACCAAACTCACCATTTACCATCTCCAAGTCAAATAGATGTAACCAAAAAAATAAACAACAACAACAACCTAACACACTTTCATGAAAACCATTTTCTCTTACTTGACAATTCCGTCAGCGTCAGCACTTCCAATCATCCTTCCACTGGACGAAAACCTGCAATGAACTATCGCTGAGTGATGTTCCTTGTAGCCATCCTGATAAACAAAAAAATTTCATAGGGTTCATACACAAGATGTACGTTACTGTGCTGTGTGGACAGTTACAAAAATAAAAAGCACTAAAAGTTGTCATTTTTTTACATTCAGTGGGACTCACAAATGGATTTCAGTTGCAACAATGCTCAAAGTGCCATAACACAATGTGTCTGAAAAGACATAGTATTGATAAAAACTAGATGGAAGTTACGTGCAAATAGTTTTCACTAAGAATTTAAATTTCCCCCAAACTTCTTCTCCTTTTGCATCATTCAGGCTATCTATCTCCAGTCCTACTTAAACTGATCATGTAATCAGCTGTTTACATGTATATGAAAAATCATCAGTCCTTGTTGCACCATGCAGCGCACAAGGCGCGAATACTTATAAATAATTTAATAACAGTCTGAAGATCCCTTCACGCGTGAAACTCGAGTAACTGTCAACATATAGTTGCTATCTTTAATTCATATTGATGATTAAAACTATTATTATACATTGTAGTCACCATCTGTCTTCTCATTGGCTAAAAGCCTACAGTTAATTCCGAGAAACAGCGCAACCTACAGATTATTCACTAATCTGCTAGCAAATTAGTGAATAATCCGTAGGTTGCGCGCGCAATGCATGATTTCCAAGAGTAATAACGTCAAGTTCATGGCTTGACATTATTGACATGGCTTGTCAAAAATAAACTGTGTTCGGTACGATAATGCGTTTGTCGTTATTTTCATTAAAACAATGTATAATAAAACAATTATGAGATTCGGTTTTTGTGATATCCGAAATAATCCAGGTCTCGGTTAGTGTTATCAGCCTCAGCCTTTGGTTTCCGCTGGTAACACTTACCTCGACCTTGATTATTCCGGATATCACAAAAACCTAATCCAATAATTGTTTATACACAACAAATGTTGAGAAGAGTCTAAGTTGAGCTTACAATACACCTTTTGTTTTACCTGACTTAGAAATATAAAAGCCTTAGACTTGTGTTCACCATGACCTGAAAAATATATAGATTGATGAATTAACATAAACAGATTTGAAACAGTGTGGGAACTTCAACCAAGTACACTACCCATCCAAGAAATAATAAGTTTGCAACCATTTCATTGTTTTCACACCAAAACTGACTATTGGTCAAAGTGGAAAGAACTTTCTTGATTGGCCCTGTTGGGGTGGTATAACTTCATTATGCATGGCTATTCTAAAAGTAAAAGTGCCTTGAGGAAATTGATTTCAACTACGGTAACTAGGCAAAGTACTTGGTGCATTTTGTTGAAAAATCAAACTAAATACCAGACAGGATTAAGGGAAGTGAAAAAGTCGAGCAGTGTAACAGTGGAAGTACATTAACAACTGATCAAACACAGTTGTATCCTCTGCAGTTCACCAACAGACCAGCCAGCAGATACAGGGCAAAAGTCGTATAATTGTGTTGGCAAATACATTTGACGAAAGGAAGTATCGGGAGCTTTGTACGTTGTTTAGAAATCTGTGAATAATAATTAACAATGTCTCCACTTTGTTGAATCAGCTATGGCACATAAAAAATTCTTTTCACTTCCTTATTATTCAAATTATAGAACATACAAGGTATTCAACAGTTGATGAGGGAGCTCGCATACTGAATGATTGTGGGGGATTTACACCGCTTGAATGTCATGCTCACCTTCAAGAAGGGCTGACTTACGAAGTGTATCATCTACAATTGAAAAAAAAATTATGGATGAGAGGTACCGTCTGGAAATGATCCACGCAAACTTATACTGCTGGTGCATAATTCCAGTCACAATGAGCTATAATTCATATCAATAACACCTACAATCAATCTATAGTACTGCTCATATCATTGGATAGAATGACAGGTCTGCATCTTATAGTACCAACCCAATTGTCAGCATTGACAAGTTCCTTCCACCTAACCACAAATGTAAATAGTTAAGAGTAGGCGTGTAACGAGTAACTTACCTTTCGATTTGACTATTATTTTGAATAGGAATACTTTGATTACATTGTGCAAATTTTCTTTCTTCATAATACATGCAAAAAAAATTGTGGAGTTCAACAAGACCACAAGGGTTCGAGAGTGTTTTCCTTGATTTTGGATATCTTTAGAGACAGGTAGAAGAGAAGTTCTTTATTGCCAGGCATCAACAAAAATTACATACATACAATAACTTTCTACTCCTCAATTAAAACCCAATAGATAATTAAATCTACAATTCATTTGCTGAACGTTTAATAGTGGACAAAGCAAAGTTGTGAAAACATCCATGTATGGTGTAGTGTAGGCAAATTTTTGAATCAAAGGAAAATTGCTATTCTGATGTCAAAGATTCCTCAGTTGAACTAAAAGGTCATAATCATACAGCCCTACATGTAGTTAAGGGAGTGCTGAGAGTATAGTATTGCTACTCCTCTTAGATGGGATGCCAATCCATCACAGGTTGCCCCAGTGTTTTCTCAGGTCTCCCCTGGATAACAGTTTGTAAGTACCCAATCATACATTGTACTCCTAATCAGAAAGAGGCACTGTGCGAGTTAATTGTTTTGTCCCAGAACACAACAAAGTGATCCCAACTAGTGCCTAAAGGACGTTCGCGCAAAAATTTTCCAGTAGATAGATTTTTTTAAAATTTTTACTGCAGTCAGATAATTAGTTACTTGAGTCAGACATGCCAAAAATATTGGGGGTCGTCAACTTTGTTTCAGACATAAAGTGCATGGAAAACTACCCTGATTTTAAAAAATTAGTGCACGTAATTCAGCATGATCTACAGGGGTTTATATCTAATAATTTTGAAGCTGAGTCAACGGAGGCAAACGATCTTAGTCATATTTTGTAGAAGTGGGTCTGTTGCATAAATAATTCCAAACGTTACCAGTGTGTTCACAAAACGTAACCCTTCAAGGGGCATTTGAAACCGTCGCACAGATAAAGGAAGAGCTTAAAAGAACGAAATTTGATGGTGTATTTTGCAAAAAATTCAAACTTCTAGTCAATAGATTTTCTTCATTTTTTTCGCTAAACATAGAAAATCGGTAGAGAAAATAATCCATCAAAAGAAAAATAGGGGTCACCGAACGTCCATGATCGTTAAGGTGGCTTACTAAAGTTTCGATAGATTAGAACAGCCCAACTTCACAATCGTTTCAAAAATGTTCCAAGATGTGTTTCCTTTCTCTATTTACTGTTTGCCTGAGTCTTTTACCATTCTATGTGAAACTTGAACAATTAAACGTCAACAAATGGCCAAAATGAACGACCAAGTACCTACGGAAAGACTGGGCACTAGTAGGTTAAATCAGGTGTTTCTCAAAATCTACCCATATGACCCCACCTCACAATTTCAGGAATAAGAAATTGGCTCTGATTTAACACTCATGCAAAGTAAAGTAAATAACTGTAAGACAGATTTTTCGCAAACTAAGAAAATGTGAGATCAAAAATAGCACAAAATCTGTCTCACAGATTTTTTTTTAAATTTTGGCTCTAAACGTGATTCGCCCCTACAAATCAACTGTGAAAATTTCATCATGGGTTGTACACTAGGTTTTCGAGCAATCCTCGATCAAAGACTAGCTTTTATAACCTTGGACGAGAATTGAATTGCGCATGCCTTTTATTTAAGCGCACGCTCATGTGACACCATGTATCGCGTGCGAGAAAGCAATAGTAAATTAGAGCTCTTTTACCGGTTATTTATAGAGCTTTTTTTGTCATATTTTTTGGCCCTAGGCTTAAACACATGTTTGAACGGAGTTTGAAACTATTACTACATATACCAAAGTGATTTCACGCCTTTCAACCGCTGAAGTGGTTTTCGTTTCTTCTTAGGGTTACTTGCGTCATTTTTGCACGTGCGAGTAATACTGACGTCTGGCAGGCAATCATAGTGCGCACTACTGAGTCTCAGAAAACTGTAGTAAGCCACCTTAAATTCAGGCAAAGCTATAGCAGTGGCCATCTGCCCTATCATTGTTCATTTTATTACTCAGCACGCGCTCTCATGCATGACATGGCGTGTAAATTTGTGTGCAGTAGGGATGCACAGAAGCAATTAGCGCAAATGTCCTTAAATGCTAGAGCACTCCATCATGAGGACAACATGCTTCTTATTAAGCCATATACCAGGATCAGGCTTTCAGCCAGAAGTGGCCATCCAAACTGTGCAATAGGGCCTGCTCAAATGAGCAATTTATAAGGCAACAATATGAAAAATAGAATAATTTTCAATAGAAAATGACCGTCCACAGGATGCCTGGATGCCCATCTGGCCAAAAGCCTGAACAGGATTCAGATATCAACACACAACACTGTAACCAGTGGGGCACCACACCTACATATATTGCACCAGGTTGACAGCGAGCTGTAACATGTACTGTACTTTCACCAAATGAAAGTGAGTTACATATACCTGTCCTGTCTTCCAGCTCCAGCTGAGATGTTTTCAGTCTTCCAGGCAAGGTTTTACTCCTTTGGATAGAGAATCCTGACTTTTCTTTGTCATCTAGGCTTTCAATCGATGGTGTGTCAAGGCTCTGAGTCTTTGAAATGGATGACTTCAAGGGTTTTGCATCCTCCTCGTCATTTTGAGACTCGTTCTCAACTTCAACCTCTTGACCTTGAGGTTTCTCTTGTGACATAAGAACTGAACTTGACTTCAACTGCTCTCCTTGCAAGAGGGATAGTTGCTTCTGCTGTTCCTGTAATTGCGTTCAAAGAACAAAAAAAGGTATTCAAAAAGTGAAACTACAAAATAATTAAAATGTTCACAAGGGTTTCATCAAGGTCCAGGTACCAACCAAATTCATTGGTTGTGAGAATGATTTTGCCTTCTTGTGTTTTCACCATCTCAAGGAATCGTTTTCTCCTGAAGAAGTTCAGGTCAAGGGAAGTAAGCATCACTTGTACGTTCAGCTAGTGAGCTACATGTATGTATACATATACATGTACTGTCTCATAAATGAGGACTCCTGCAATCAATGAAAATCCATCCAATTTAATTTGTAAAAGGCAACCCGCTGCCAACCTGTATCTGTTGCTGCTGCTGCTGCCTGACCAGTTGTTGTCTTTTCAATTTGGCCTGCATTTGTTCTCCATGAAACATTTGCTGTTGTTGTTGCTGTTTTGGGTCCTTTCCCTTCTTGTTCTTTTCTTGCTTGTCTTTGAACATTAATTTGGAGAACTTTTTGGACACGCTGGGTAGAAATTTGCCAGATTGTACTTGTGGCCTGCTAATGGGATAAATATTAACCTATATGTATAATCATCCAATCATCTTTTGGCTCATAAAATTGAAAAACCTTAAGTTAATCAATATATTTACAAAGTTGCATCATTGTCAGCTAGGTGAAGGTGAATAAACCAAGGCTGTACAGAGTTTAAAGAACACAGTACCAAGAGCATGTGCGATGTGGCGATTGAAGGTTCTAAAGAGTAATGAGGTTTAAACCCCACCAGGGTCTCTGCGTCATGAGTTCAGCAGTGTATCCTTGGGAAAGTTCATCAATCAATCATTTTAACTTATAAACAATTACTAACATCAAGTTCTTAAAAATCTTACCTGGTAACAACAAAGAACTCATCCATGTCTTCCTCTTCGACAGTATCACCTCTCTTCCTCTGGCTTTCTGCAAGCTCTTGCTCCAGTTTGGACTTCTGACGTTGTAAGTTTGCTGCTTCATCTGCCAGTGACACAACCTGCTCTTTGAGCTTCAACACCTCCTGCTCCAGCCTGTGCAACTTTCCCCTTTCCTCATCATATTTAAGAATTGTTGGCATGGGTGTTTAGAGTTAAGAAAAAAGACTCAGACACATATTTGAATAGCAATTATTGAGCAACTTGTAATAATTTAGTCATGCATTGCTTATACAGTTATACAACTTGGATGGCCACTTAATAAATAACTGACAAAGTGTAGACAAATGAGCAGTTTTTTAGCATACAGTTACAAAAAGGTTGCAAAAATGTGATCTGCACCCAGGGCTTATTATCGGCTATATTATATTGCTGTATTTCAGTTGCCACAGATGTTTAAAGCATGATCTCAACATTCATGTTTCTCACAGCAGAGTCCCAAAATAACTAGGTGTAAGCCCTCACACTTTTTTACCATTAATTTAAATTATTATGACGTATGAAATGTCGATAAATCAAGTGCAGCCAGCCCGATATTTTGATTGCTGTACATACTCACATGTACTAAGCATTTTAAAATGAAAGCACTGTCCTATCCCTAAAAGGACCCTAGTCACCCTGCACCATTTTTGATGCTATCGAAATTATCGACATTGCATGGTAAAGCAAAATCTTATTGCTTTACTGGAAGTTGTGTTCCTGAAACTATGTTCAATTATCTTTAGTAGTTTCACAGTGATTTCTTTCAAATAAAAACATGTAATAGCCGAACTCTCACATGTAAACAAATTACAAAGGTGTGGCTTTAAGTGTCACTTCTTTAAACAATTTAATTTAAATGGGTTTTTTTGTAATAACTTTACCATAAGTGTCATAATAGCCCAACCTCCCCACAGGGGTAAACTCCCCACAATGTCTACTTGCCCCTGCCTCAAAGGTGGCCATTGTAAAGAGGTATTTAAAGACCATACGATCATCCATTCCCCACATTACCTTCTTGGTATGAGCCTTGAAACTAAAATACATGTTAAGTCAATCAGACAGTCATTGTGATAACAGTTACCGTCACTCAAATAGATGTCATGTAGACAACCCACCAAACAAACAGCAATATCTCAAGTCAATAATCATTATACACTAAGTTTTGGTCAATTAAGATAAATATACAGCATGTTCAAAGGGATATGTTGTTTTGACTAAAAATAGTGGTTATGAATCACTCAAATATTTAAAACATCCAAAGCTAAGTTTGTTACTTTAAAAGGATATGCATGTGATGAAACAAAGTAATCAAAAAGTTGTATAGTGAAAGGAAAAATGTCTCCTGCCAGGCCCTCTGAAAGTACATCTCAAATGTGACATTCTGCTCAGGATTCTTGATAAACGGGATGGCTGAAAACAGATAGAGAGGCATGACCTTACAATTATTACACTCAGAACTTTGAAGTTCTTAAAATAACATTCTCAAAGTCATTAATAATTCATCAAGTAAGTTTGAACAAAGGAAATCGTGAATGTGATGGTGTTTGGATATTTGGTTTTAGCCTTCGCATGTTCAAGGAGGGGTGGATGCCACCACCGGTACCCCTAAGGTTTTTTCAAAGTTTTGAAAGACAATTCGCTCTAAGGGGCTGAAACTTTCAGAAGCTGTTCCTTCATTCTCTGTGGAGACTTTCATCTGTCAGTTGCCTGTCCATCATTTCTAATACATGTTGCCATGGCAACCATCAAATTCCATGTAGGTCTGGTGAAAAGTCAACTTTTTTGAGACAATTCTGTTAGTGTTTTCCAGTTTCCTTCATCAAATTGCAGAAATTCGTGAATTTGTACATTTCATAAGCATTGTGGCTTGATTTTGTGTTAATTTACGTCATTTCTTGACTTTTCAAGGAAATAGTAAAATCCATTTGACGTCATATAACATCATAACCAACAAAAATGGTATCACCTTGTAGAGCAAGCTCAGGACTACCTAATCAATGTAAATTTATTTTGCTCTGCCTTAGCAGAACGAAAACCCAGAGGGGGCATTCCATCCACCCAGCCCCCTTGTACCACCAGTGGGGGTATGAGTTAGCTTGAATGTCCGAGGATTAATTAACATAGATTTTTACGATTCTATTTCTTCATTTCCTTGTTAGTTTTAGTTTTGATTGAAAAGACATATCAAGCACTTGAGACCATGACCACAAGATATATCAAGCACTCAAGACCACATCTCCAAACACCTAAAAGTTCCTGAAAATAATACTGTGCTACACGTCGTATGTATTTTTGCCTCTCTTCTTGGTGTTTGGAAATGTGTTCAAACACAGTTTTCTGTTTGATTTATTACAGAACAACTAGAAGCATCTGCACTCGAGTCACAGTGGCATACACAGAAGCAAAGCCTATGATCAAGGTTTTTGTAGCTGGATGACGCATTCAGGAAAAGTAATTCTACCTCAAATTATGGATGGAATGCTAGTCCATGGTAGTTTACCTTAACAAGATGTTATAACAGTTCACTAGTCCCATTTATAAGTGGTAAAAAGAGATACTGTGAGAGTGGTGTCTCATCTAAAGACACAACACATTGAACCTCTTTGGTGCAGTAGAGTAGTTCTAACTCAGACAATGTATGTCCCACATTTCTGAAAGTTAGCTTGACGACAGAGTTTTATTGAGCTCTATTTAAATTAAATATATATGCAGAGAAACTAGGAGATGACAGCTCCAAGGCAAAAACAAAACATAGTTATTGTTCGATGCTGTTTCAAAAGAATGCTTTCCACATGAGTCAACACACTTGCAACGTAACATTTAAACACCCTGCGCAGAGCTGAGCATTCCCTAAAGAAAAAGAATGAATGACTTGAAAGCAAGGGGATCTAGACAGGCTACATCAGGGCTTGACATTAACTTTTCAACTTACTAGCCAAGTGGCTAGTGACTACTTAGATGTTACTGGCCAAAAACATTTTTTACTAGCCAAGCGTTGAGGTTGGCTACCTTATTACATGAAATTTTCGCGACACATTCATTTCACGATTTGTCAGTGCACGTATTTCACGACACTTAATTCGCGATTTTGCAAAAATTGGGATTTTGAATCACTTTAACTTTATGTTTTTGAGTAACACAAAATTTGTTTCCTTGGCAATGTTACTTAAACATGTCTTTGAATTTAGTAAACTGACTTTATCAAAGGTACAATAACGTCAAAA